TATGGATTTAATTTTACGTAGTATACTTGAATAAATACGGTAAGTTTCAGGTAATTGTTGACTAACTCGGTCGTAAAGATACTAACAGAAAAAAATTGCAGTAATTTTGATTTTAATCTATCATGTCTTTTTTCTTATTTTAATAAAAGTGACATTTATCTGTTTGTTATGATTATTATGCAGCTCCTGATTAGCATCTGCTCTAAATGAAAGGTTAAACAGACAAACTCAGAGGAGAACTGTCTGAAAGTTTCTCGACCTGAGAGGACAAATCAGCAGGAACGTTAGYCCTGAAGCTTGATGGGTCTTATTAGACGAGCTCCTAATCCAGCTCTTCTGATTAGGTGCAGTGATGGAGGAGATAACGGCTGACTGACAGCTGGAGCTGGACCGTTAAGTGGGCAGAATGGAGCAGAGTTCTCACCAGGCTGCRGGGGTGTTTGGGGGGAACAGATCAGTCATCGTGGTGGTCTCTCCGCTGCGCACCGACACACTCAGAGTGTGAACAAAAGAGAGGCTGGAACATTTCTGCTTCAAACCTTTTTACATTTTCCWCCTCAGTCAGAAGTTTAATCATCTCGTCTTTTTCTTTCTCTTCACTTTTTATTCCAGAGGAGCAGAACGTTTCCCCCCGAGCCCTCTGCACTCTGCACAGTTCAGTGTTTTAGCTCGTGGCTAACRAGACAAAACTGCTTCTTCTGCTGAAAAGCTAAGAGATCGGTAGCTAAAAGGAGAATGAGGAGAGTAAAACWGAGCTCCTGTCCTGAAGCAGATTTCAAACAGATTGCTTTTGAAAAAAAAGAAACTTAATTTATTTCTCTGTAAAAATAAAGTTAATTAAAAAAGAGAAGTTTCAAAACCCAAAGTTATGAGCTTTAAATAGAAGTTTATTGTTTGTGTGACAAGATTCAGGACAGAAATATTTAACACTCTTTAACCCTTTATGATCAGATTTACTAAAAATCAGTTAAAAAGTATGAAAAGAACAAATCTAAACTCTGTTCAGCTTCCAGAACCGTTTCTGAAGCACATGCAGCKTTTTTCTCACATCTCTGGTGTTGAAGTCAGTTTAATCTCCAGTGTTGCAGTTTTCTCTAACTTCTGATACGATGAATGAAACTGATTTGTTCTTCCAACAGCACAGGGCTCCCTTAGATCCTTAAAAGTATTAAAAAGCATTAAATTCATCAATCAAAAAAACAAGACCTTAATTAGCTTTAAAAGGTCTTAAATCAGTCTTAAAATATTTGGTGSTATGATTGTAATTWGTCTCAAATGGGATGCACCGATATGAAATTTTCAGCTGATATCAATTCTGTTATTGCTGTTCTGGTCTATAACCGATATTTACTGATTTTTACATAAACACACTTGTGTCTTTTTTCAATATACCAATATAAAAAACGACCAYACTTCTGACWTGGCTCTCTGCTTCAGTTATTCCTGCTGCACAGTGTCATAATCATAAACTCCCCTCCTGAAACAGAAACACAAAACTAAAACGTGGACAATGTCAGACGTTCATATCAGCCTATTTTACTTATCAGATCAATACTGATGTTAATGAAGATATCTCATGCATATATTTAAATATCCTCATATCTTAAAATAAATAAATATTTATTTATTACCTCCACCAAGGGCGAGGTAATGTTTTCGGTCGTGTATGTCTGTCGTTCTGTCTGTGGACAACATTACTCAAAAACTTGAGGACAAATTGTCAGGACATTTTTACCACATGTGTGTACTGGGTCAAGG